GCAAATTCCGTTTGATCACTTCCTAGCAAATTATGTGGTCATGAATCCCTAGCAATTTTAGTGGTGTAGATATTATATACCAGATTCAATATGGACCGATGGATAATTGATTTATAAAGTATATCTAAATAATTTTGTAGTAATATATGAAAAACAAAAAAAAACAAAAAAAATCATAACCATCATATCATAAAATAACAAGATAATTATTTATTACATTAAAAAAAGAAAGTTGCTACTCTAGAATACATAATCTTCAATAAACAAATATGAACCTACTACTCTTGTTGTTTTGTAAAGCCATTAATAAGATCCAATGTTGTTTGAAGTTGTTTTTCAAGATGCCCGACCCTTGCTTTTATCCTCTTGTTGGGCGTTCACCATTTCTTTAAGCTCTTCGTTTTGTTGTTGTTGTTTAGCAACAAGCTCCCTCATTTCTTGTATTTCATCATTTTTTCAGGAATGTAAGTTACATCCGTTTTACCATTCCTATTGGGAACCGCCTTTGCAAAAGATCCTAATCCGTATAGTCTTCTTTTTTTTTATCATGACCACTTAAAACAACATAAAATAACTTGTCCTCCTCAAATTCAACACCTTCAGCTTCCAACTCTTCCTGTGTTTCTGTATAGGCCACCTACAAAATAAAAATATTATAAGTTAAAAGATATCAAATTTAGGAATGATATTATGGAGTAGCTACAAAATAAAAGTTAATTTAAACTGAGATGAATATTACATGAATTTGTCTATCTTTATTATTTGTGAAAGTGACTCAATCATGATTCTTAGTGTGTGTATACAGGAACAATTCACTATTGAGTAGCTCATGTCCTATTTTCCTCTTCTGCATAAATACCATATAAAAAGTCAAATATACAGATAAACATATGCAAACATTGATACGATGTACTATTTAAAAAATTACCAAATCAGAAGCTATCTCCAAATGACATGCGAATCCAACGTTATGTGTAGGTTTTGCTACTCCATCAGCCACACCGTTACGTCTATGTTTCTTGTTCTGCTCAGATTTTAGCTTGTATTCTTCTATATTCCATATTAATTGCCAGGAGTTCCATACTTCCTGTGGAATATGAGCTGGGTTAAAGCCATGTTTATTTCTTTTTGGGCTCCTCATGTTGAAGCGATATTGACCATAACTTTGTGCCGCTTTCCTTACCCAAGCTTGCCTCACCAGCGAGTCTATTGTCTCATCCCAACAACATTTTTTGCTACACATTAACAATATAAACATAATTGGAAGTGTAAATTTTTACCAAACAACAATTTATCACTTATAATTACATGAAACTCCTCCCAATATAATTCACACATTTCTTTGCTTACTTGTGCCCAAGCGTACCCTTCTGGATCTACTCTTTGTTTAAAGGACTAGCTAATAAAGTGTGCACAAGGGCCTGATGGCATTAGCCTGCAAGTAATCATGTGATGTGTTAAGTTATGAATTAATATGAAGGTGTAAAAAAAATTGATACATAAAATAAAGTTGTAATTCAGATTTGAATTGGTAACTCACGTATTTTTCCAAACATGAACATTAAAACATCCATCTGGTCCACAATCTTCATAGGAATTGTTTTCACCTTATACAGTTTCCACTATAAATCCATTCATGGGTGGTTATGTTGGTGATGGGGTAGATTCTGGAATAGGTGTTGTTGATGGGGTATACTATGGGGTAGGTGTTGGGATAGATGTATATGTTGAGGATGTGGTAGTTCCTTTACTTAAGGAGGGTGTGGTAGTTATTGTAGTTGTGGAGATGGTAGTGTAGATGCAGGTTTTGAGGTTGTGGTAGTAGATATAGGTGTTGATGATGTGGTAGTGGGTGTTGGTGTTGAGGATGGTTTAGATGATGTAGGTTCTAAAGTTTTCGTTATTGATGTTCGTGTTGATGATTGTATTATTGCAGTTTATGAAGTTTTAAATGCTTTTTCTAAGGAGGGTGTGGATGTTTTAAGTGATGCTGAGGAAGTATTAGTCATGGGTGATGTTAATGATATAGGTTTAGGGGTTTTGTTGGTAGATGTTATAGGTGCTTTGGATGTGGTTATTGGTATTGGCAAGTCGATTTCTTCATCTTGTAACTGTCTGTTTATGAATTTTGTAATAGAAATCTTGTTGCATTTCATAACTTGTGGTGCAATGAATTTAGTTGGCTTCACACCAGATACTCCTTTTGCTTTCGAGGTCGACATCTTTCTGACACAAAAAATAAAAATAAATTATATATGAAGGCCTTACTTTGCATGTAAACTATTGAATACAATCAAAACCAATTTACATGAAGATGATAAGAGAACAAAAAACGATCGATCATCACGACAACAGTAAATTAAATTAAAATAAATTTTAGATGAGTTACAACCTATATCGCCAAATTCAGTGCAAAAACGTATAACAAACAAAGATTTCGATCAATAAGCTACCGGAAATGATGATTACAGAAAATTTGAACCCTATTTCTAATTGGTAATTAATTACCCTAATATGCAGCATAAACGTGTGTCGGTTGGAGGGAAATGAATTGTGAAATAATTTGAACCTCCGCTAATAAAAAATTCGAGTTGTGCTAATTAGTAATACTTAGTAATTCAAATTTATTTAAAGTAGCTACATATTGATAGATAGGGTATATACATATAAATAACATCAAGAAAGAACATAGAGTAACAATGTGTTCATTGTATAATTTTAACTTAATTATATACGAGGACTAAACATTAATAAACTATACATCTTTATGATTTTCTGTTTAAACCGAAAGTTATATACAAAAGACGTACGTGTCATGTCAATATATATGGTAGTGGCTTATTGTGTCCATGGATGACATATGGCTGATTGGTCCACATGGTAATGGCCATTAGTCAACATGGTAGTTGCTTATGGTGTCCATGGTTGACATATGGGCCATTAGTCAACATGGTAGTTACTTAAGGTGTCCATGGTTGACATATGGTTGATATATGGGTCATTGGTCAACATGATTGTTGCTTATGGTGTCCATGGATGGCATATGGGCCAATGGTCAACATGGTTGTTGCTTAGGTATCCATAGATTACATATAGTCCATTGGTCAACATGGTTGTTGCTTATGGTGTCCATGGTTGACATATGAGCCATTGGTCAACATGGTAGTTGATTATGGTGTCCATGGTTGACATATGGATTACATAAGGGCCATTGGTCAACATGGTTGTTGCTTATGGTGTCCATGGATGACATATGGGCCATTGGTCAACATGGTTGTAGATTATGGTGTCCATGGATTCCATATGGGCCATTGGTTAACATGGTTGTTGGTTATGGTATCCATGGTCGGCATATGGGCCATTGGTCAACACGGTAGTTGATTATGGTGTCCATGGTTTCCATATGGGCCATTAGTCAACATGGTTGTTGCTTATGGTGTCCATGGATGACATATGGGTCGTTGGTCAGTATGGAAGTTGATAATGGTGTCCATGGTTGATATATGGATGACATATGGGCCATTGGTCAACATGGTTGTTGTTTATAGTTCCCATGGTTGACATATGGGCCATTGGTCAACATGGTAGTTGATTATGGCGTCCACGGTTGACATATGGGTGACATAGGGGCTATTGGTCAACATGGTTGTTGCTTATGGTGTCCATTGTTGACATATGGGCTATTGATCAACATGGTAGTTGCTTATGGTGTCCATGGTTGACATATGGATGACATATTGGCCATTGGTCAACATGGTTGTTGCTTATGGTGTCCATGGTTGATATATGGGCCATTTCTCAACATGGTAGTTGATTATAGTGTCCATGTATGACATATGGATGACATATGGGCCATTGGTCAACATGGTTCTTGATTATGGTGTCCATGGTTGACATATAGGCCATTGGTCAACATCGTAGTTGCTTATGGTTTCCATGGTTGACATATGGATGACATATGGGCCATTGGTGAACATGGTTGTTTCTTATGGTGTCCATGGTTGACATATAGGCCATTGGTCAACACGGTAGTTGCTTATGGTGTCCATGGTTGACATATGGAAGACATGTGGGCCATTGGTCAACATATATCATTTGTGCTAGTTGTATATTAAAATTTAAAATTCTCGAATACTTAATTTTGTAGGAAATATTAATTTTTTAAATAATTTTATTAATAATTTAGGGTCCCCAATTAATCCCTGTTGAGTTTGATTAATCACTTATCGTCAGTCGACCGTCGAGCTACCGAGGAGCGATTTTTACAACCTTGATTAATTAAAATAGAAATTGATTTTTCTTTTAAATATGAGTTTTTACAAAACTACCCTTACTAATTAAATACGAGTCATTGTATGTATTATGATAATTTGGTCATTTTGTAATGGAACATCTTCTAGGCGCCATAATGTTTTCTGCTGAAACACGTTGTTTTCTGATGAACATCTTCTAGGCGCCATATGTATTAATGAATGTTTATTATTATGGAAGCCAGTACTTCATCTAAGATTCAATCAAGAAATCAAACAAAATCGCTATCAGACATGCCATTTGAAGTGATGGAGAAAATAATAGTCGACTTGGCAAAAATTTCAGCAGTCGAGGCTTTCAGGATGAAGAGTGAGTAAGTTTTGCCTTTGATCATTCTATTTTACAAGTGTATTTGAGTTGTCTTTACATTATTGAGCGAATATTGTGTTTCATTTGCATTTGCAGATTCTTCAACGAGCCAGGAAAAACGGATGAAGTATATAAACATATGGAGTTAGATGGATTACAATTTCGTGTTTGCTCTGACCAGAAACATACAGTTGTCAATAAATGCAAAGAGATGAGAAACCTAAATATTCTATTCATAAATGGATTGGTACGTTGTTGTATATGTGCATAGTAGTAATTAATCTGTTACTTGTTTTTCATAACTTTAACTAGAAATTATGTGTTTAATGTTTTTTCAGATGAAGTTATTTTTTATATAAGTTGAACATGAAGGGAAAACAATGCTCAAAGAAGCATCTGCATTGGGACATTTGGATTCAACATTTGTCCTAGGAATGATGCTGATGGCTGAAGGGAGACATAGGAAGCACGAAGCTTTGGACATGTTAACAATGCTTACCGCAGATAAAAAGGTAAGTGGAATCTTAGAGCAACTTGTTCTAAGGTTCATCTCCACTTAAATAGGGAGGGGAGGAAACATGTACACTTCCATGGCTTCCATAGATCTTGTGCATTGCATAAGTCTGTAGGCCGTGTGTCAGACGCTTTTGTAAATGGATACAAATAGGTGTTTATGTGTGACATTTGTTTATGGGATGTTTGTTTCGTTAGGTTTTCTAGGGAGTTTGGTATAATTTATGAGTAGTTTGTTGATATGTACTTTCATATTATGACAATTAATTATATGTAGATTCTTTTGGTTTAATATAAGGGACTAAAAGAGTTAAAGTTTGGAATGATGTTTGAATGATGTTTAAATAATGTTTGAAACTTGAATAATGTATTTTTGACTTTTAATATTAGTGTTTATATTGTATTGTAATTATAGTTCTATGTAGCAAATGTTTGTTCTTTCCTATTATTAAATACATATAAAATACATTTGTAAAGGCATAAACAAACATGTATTTTATTTTGGACTTGGTAATTTGGTTTAATATCAACTAGTGGAGTAATCATGCTTTTCATAGGGTAAAATTGTAAAGAAATAAATATATGGACTAAAAGTGGAAACAAAGAAAAAGTATTGCAGCTGAAATCAAAGTAAAAAAAAGTTACTATAAAGATGGTGACTAAAAGTGGCAACAAAAGAAAAGTATTGTGTCTAAAATCTAATGTAAATAAGTTTACTACTAAAATCTTCTTCCACTTATAATATGTATATTAGTACATGAATACATACTAGTAATTTGGTTAAATGTTGATATAAATGTATTACATTATGGATTATGATATATATATATATATATATATATATATATATATATATATATATATATATATATATATATATATATATATATATATATGTTATTTTTGTCTTTTTCATTTTAACAATCAAAAGTCCAATATCACCTAGCTATAAAATGCTATAATATTTGAATATGTGTTTTCACACAAATATCCTTAGTATTCACTTATTTGGAATGATTTCAGGGGCCATTTGGTCTTTTTGCACTCTAAATTGTTAAGGCATCACTATACATCAGACGTCACGCCGGCGTTCCAGTTCTTCAACCATTCATAACATCTCAACTTTTCTAGACGATAAATATGTATACAAACAGTAAAACCCCCGAATCATCATAGAATAATCATTCTCAAAAACGATTTTCTCCGATAATAGAGACTCATGTACTCCTCTCGACCAAATCAACATAAAGTAAGTTTTTTTTCCATACCCTGTTACATTGTCTTTCATATTTACGCTTAATTTCTAAAAAAAGAAATTGAAATCAACTACTCCAATGTGTATTTTGTAAGTAGAATGTTGAATACTAGAATTCGCCTTTCGTTCGATGATCTCCCACTGGAGCTTTTGAGTCGGATATTTGTAGTATTAGGGTCAGAATCTACGAAAGAAATCGTCTCTGCAAAACTTTGCTAATTATCAATATACATCAACTAATGAATGTATATTATATGAAATAAAACTTTATTTGTTTGTTATTTACTGTGTATTTATATTTTTGAAGTTCAAAGAAGATGTATGAAGTAAGGAGTGATCCTCAAGTGTACAGAACATCATGCATTAACATGTTTGAAGGAATGGGTCCCAAAACTCTGAAAGCTGATTCATTTATACACACATGTGCATTGCATAATAACATTGAAGCCATGTATAGACAAGGAAATGTATGTGTAATTTCAGTAATTATATGTAATCTAAATATACCATTTATTAATATTTTGTGTCATCGATGTTATATATTGACATTGTTATTCTATCAACAAGATGAGTGCTTTTAGTATGGCAATTTTGATTTAGGATTGACTTTGTTGAGAAAAGCAGATGAAGATCATCTTGAGGCAATTTATTTGCTTGGAATGATCTACATTTCAAGAGGGCCTCATCAATGTGATGAAGGTATGTACATACGGTATATATGTAAATTAAATTTTATATATATATATATATATATATATATATATATATATATATATATAGTAATTAATGCATGTTTGTAGTTTGGGGTTAGTATTTAGTTGTGTTGTGTTGTATAATATTTACTGTTTTATTGAAAATAGTACATTGGATTAATTGATAGATATTATAATTTTTAGGTTTACAATTACTTGATACCTATTTTGGCTGGGCAGTTCCGGATGATAGGGAGTACACGGGTGTTGTTGATAGTGCCAAAGAGTTGTTGTGGGCTATTGATGTTGTTCATATACTTACAACGAATAATATCACATTCCAATGTGAAGACCCACATCATTCTGTTAAAGGTGCATTGACAATAGGCCATAAAGAGGATGAGGATCGACAAAGATATTGCACGATTTTTCGTTGGTATGTAGAGTATGGTAGGTTTGTATATTTCTTAAAAATATTAATAGTTGATAATAGAATGGACATTGAATATTAGTGTTCTTATTGTATTATATATGAAGTTGTATAGTAATACTATAATTTTATTTTGGTTTTGTTAAAAGGGCATTTTAGTCATTTTTGCTTGCTATGTTGTTTGAGTAAGATGAAGTATTTGTAAAACTCATGTTATTTTTGTGATGAAGTATAGTTAATGTAATTAAAAATAAGTTTGTAATGAATTCATTATTAAGGAAAATAATCTACATAGATTATATATACTTTAGCATGCCCAGTTAGTGTAATTAAAAATAATGTTGTAATGAATTCATTGTTAATTATTCAATATAGTACTATGTTTTCAATAAATTATACACAAATTGATTAGCACAAATGGCTTAACCGCACCCTTTTCTAGCATAAGCTTAAGTTTAGGTCTTCTTGCTAGCAATATCTATTCATTTTTACATTTTTTAGTCATTAGTTTACGCAACATATTACCAATTCAAAAACATTTCATTCAAACCATATCTTACAAACTCCAATGATCATAATAATAATTCATACATAGTATAACAAAATTAATTAAGCATACAACATCCCAATAAATGTCGTCACAAATTAGCTACACATTTTGTTCCATAGCAAAACAAGCAAATGAAATCATATTCCATAGCAGAATTTCCTAGCAAATACCTACGAATGGTACTTACATAGCAATTCAGCTATGGAATTGGTTTCCGTCACAAACTTCGTTACATATTAACCACGATGAGGAATTCCATAGCAACAGTACAACGGAAAGTGATTTTTGGTAACGAATGTCGTTGGAAAATTGCTACGAATTTTTGTTTCATAGAACTATCGGTAGCATAATACCAACGGATATGGAGTCGGTAGCATTTTCCCTAAAAACACCGACTCTCGCTACCTGAAATAAAATCTGTAGACAATGTGGTAGCAACATTGCTATGGAACGACATTCCATAGCATGATCGATTGCAAATTAACAACGAAAATATGTTCCATAGCAACCTTCCTTAGCAAAATCACGTTTTTCTTGTAGTGCAATACTCACCATAATTATCATGCTCCCACTCACATGATGATTATATCTTTTCCGAGCATAACACTTATGCTCCCACTAACTTTGACACGTATTCAGAAATTAGCTGGACTTCTAGAAACCAGTACTTATTGACTTTATTTACAAAAGTTAAGATTTCTGAAACCGAGATGCTTTGATAAGCCTTTATCTAACCTTCTCGAACTCATACACCTTTCCTCAAATAACCTATATGTGTGTTTAAACAATTTTAGAACTTATAACAATAAGTCTAAAATGTTTAGACCCATTTGTTATTTCCCACAATTCGAACTATGAAGAGGGATGTTGTAATCATAATCGAATTTGAGAAATGCAAATTACATAATGTTATCTTCAAAATCTTTCTTAGTGAAAGCGTTTCCTCATAATCATTTTCATGAAGGAGAGAAACCTTATAACACTCTGATTTTGTGGTGAATGTGTTCATATCCATGTGAATTTATCATAACCATAATCAGAAGACAATAATTGTGACAAATCCAAACTCTTATGGATCGAACTTGTCCATTCTTAATTTCTTGCCATCAAGGGTCCTACCATTGCTTCCAAGTTATTGAGCAGCTCACCCCTACCTTCACTGTACTTTCCATTGATTAAGGTGCCTTGCCCATATGCATCCTATTGATAACTGATAGAACTCACATGCATAGTTGACCAAACTAGAATGGCATAGAAACAAGAATATGTCAACACGATAGGTTAGAAACCTCAAGTCGTGTGCTAGTAATTAACAGCAGGTTTACTCTCGATTAGCTCTTGAAACTTTTCAAGATCTTTAGATTCCTACTGACCACTTGACACATTATATTCTCTTATCAAGAAACATTTCTTGACAAAACAAATATTTAAGAGTTAGTGTGTGTCTATATAAAGACAAAACCTACACGCAATTTGGTACTAGTTGGTCTTTGTCTAATTCAAGACATAACAACTTACCAAACTGCGCAAGTGTAAGAACATTCCTACTTCAAATTATGTCACTCAAGTCACAATCTTGGAGTATGACTCTAAGACTTTATTTTTGAATGAAGTAAGATACATCTTATTGACTTAACCACTACAACAATTCTCGATTCCTCTTCTTAGCCAAAATAGTGCACTAAGGTGTCTTTAGAGGATGAATTGTAATATGGTTCCTATGATTACCAAGACGATCATAAAACACGATACAAAAGTACTATCCCTTCTTCTTAGATTGGAGAAACTTTTTATCTTTCTGCCTTCGTTGATTCTATTTATTCGTTCTGCCATTCATTGAAACTTTTCAATGATTCAAAATTACACTTAATCTTGTAAGTATAACCACTATACTTTTAGTGGATCATGACGAATAATGTTACTGTTATTTATGGTGGACTTGACCAGTGCATAATAGTGTGAACTCGATCTCCTAGTCCTTCACTTGACTCTTTGTCTAGGAATTAGCCTTAAAATTTCTAAGTACCGAGATTTCCATACATCACATGATTCAAATAATATGATTCCAAGCTTCTGTCCAATTGAAACTTGGGCGATGCGAATCTTTCCTTACTTAGATAATTACAACATTACCATAAATAACATAACTAAGAATCACATCCATTTAATCTTGCTTATAATGAAACACACAAACATCAATTTTCACAATTGCCATTGCAAGGAAATATAAATAAAACAAAATCAAAATTTATTTTATTGCGGAAAATTATATCCTTACAATGCAAATGAAAACTATGCTATTACATATCCCTAAGCAATTTATCATAGCTCTAAGCAGCATCTCAAAAATCTGATCATCGAATCCATGCGATTGTAATCCATTTCTTCGCGATCAGACTCAGCTTGCTCCATCTTTCAAGCTTCCTTTCTTTTCTTCGATCCTTCAAAACATCAAAATGTAATCTTATCACATCATGTATTAAGAATCTCCAAATAGGAACTTAATGGAGTCATAAAGTGGATTTTACCTGAAGCAGAGTTATACATCTTAACTCTCCCATCTCTTAGATCTCTCAAGTAGTTAGGACAGCTTCGTAACCAATGCTCGTTCTTTTGGCAGTAGGAACATATGGACTCTTCTGGAATGGTACACGGGACTATCTCAGACTCAGCCTTTCTCTTGCGTGGAGAAAACTTTTCTGGACTTCCAATGTTGCCATTGCCCAAAGAAGGTAGGAATATTGATTTATCAGACCAATTTGCTCGATCAGTGCGCCAAATCATTTCTGATTCAGCAACAATAAACAAATAAGTTGTAACGCCCGCGTTTCCAGGATAGGCATTATCGTTGATGTAATAGTCTAGGTTAACCCTTGTAACTCTTTTTGAATTATTCATGATGAAATATTTGAGTATTATATGAATTATGTGTTTATTTTCTTAATTATTATAATTTAATTGAATTAAGAATAAAATAAGCGTCAAAATTAAAGTGTGATATAAGTCTAATATGTTTGCATGAAGATGTAGTGGTTGAAACAAGGATTCTAAAGATATAAAGAATGCTGATATCCGAGTTATAACGAAGAAGTTATGATCTGTCGAAGTTTTGCGACAGAACCGGCAACGTTGAATGATGTAAAAAGTGAAAGAATGATATTTAGCCTTAGTGATCTAAATGAAAGTCGTAGATTTTGTTAAACCGAGAGCGTTCATAAAAAAGAACTCCCAAATCCGACTTCGTATGAGGAAGTTATGATTTTCCGAAGTTTCGACTTAGCACTATGCAACCCGAATACTCTATTTGAGACCGGGTGGTTTTTAGCCGAAACAATCTAATTGAGAATTGAAGATCTCATTAATAGTAGTGAAACGATAAAAATACAGGTGAAAACGGACGTCAGGTGAAGAAGTTATGAATTTATAACACAATTTTCCTATCCCGGCCTACTAAAAATAAATAATAAAAATAAATTCAAAATTAGCCGACTGAGTCTAAACGAAAGTTGTAGAGCATAGTCTCACCTACGCGGGGATATAAAGAACATCGCCACCTGTAGGTGTTAATGAACTTGGGTGTTCATTCGTTGTAATCCATCCACCTCATGGTTGCCTTATTTGACATATATTACTGGGAAACCCCCGAAGCATGTGTTGTCGCCGCGATGAAATATTCTTAGACTAGGTCCCTTCTGTTAGCTGTTTTAGGGACGTAAAGTGAGAATAACGGGAATGGGTAATTGGGTTAGTGTTGGTTGATGAGAATTTATTTATTTATTTATTGTGAGTTGAAAACCGTATATGCTCACCAGGCTCCGAAGCCTGACCCACTCAGTTTCTTTGTATTACAGGTAGTGGCGCCAGAGCATAAGTTAGATGACTTGTCAAGTTATTTTTGGATTATAGACCTGTTGTTGTAAATAACTGTTGTATGGTTTGTATTGAAATGTTTATGCTTTTGGTCTGTTTATCGGAACATGACATCACGAGTATTGTAATATAATGAAGAATACATTTCTTTAAGAAATGCGTTGGTAAATCTTATTTTTATCGTATTTTGTTTTGGGAACAAATTATGTAACTCTTTTAATCAAAGGATTACTCTGAAATCATTTTAAAAGCATAAATTAAACTGGTCTTTTCTGGCCGTGATTTTAGGGATGTCACAGTTGGTATCAGAGCATTAGTTTAAGCGAACTAGGAATTTGTAGGATTTCTAGACTTAAACTTAGAATGCTAAGTGAAATTGTGAGATGTGTGTTTGTTATATTTTAGACACGAGCACTAGTTTATTTTAGGAAAATTGCCTAAAATGCTTTTATGTGCTAAATGTTATATGTTTGCCATATATGATATTATTTGTTCGGATCTATGGTCTGTTTCCGACCGGATCTGGAAACCTTATATGTGTAGGATTCTAAGTGTACATCTACGATAGTAGAACTAGCATGTAAACGTTTCAGAGTGATAAGGATGATTTGAATATCTATCGTGAATGAGGATCTAATTTCACCTTATTTGGTGTATAGATA